GAGCTGATGCTATGAGGTCAGTGTGCTGGTCTAAAGGACACCTGTGCCATCCCTGGGAGTGAAGGACATCTCTGCAGCCTTAGGAACCTGACAGAACTCAGCATGAACAATGTTCACGCAGTGACTGAGAAGCATCATTTTCCTCCAGACCAGGATTAAAGATTCTGAAAGAAATACTTTTTCCCTGCTATTGGCTGCTGCAGACAAAGATAAGACATAGCTCTCGTGGGAAGTCAGAAACCTTCAGAGAAACTGTGGTGGCTTGAACAACAAATACCATTAATCTGGAGATGATCAAATCCTTTAATCTATTTTTAATCTGTTTTTAACCTCTGTATGTTTTAAAGCTGCTTAGAAATTTTGCATCAAGTGATGCTTTCTTGTTACTGGGTTACTATTTAGCAGGTTCAGAGGGTCTTGTATCACATGAGTGGGGCTAGGTACACTCCTCCCATCTCTCAACTCAGGTGTCGTGGCAGATGGCTGTATCAAGGGCTCACATTACTAAATCTTGATCCTGCTGCTTTTTTTTTTTTTTTTTTTTTTTTTTTTGGTCAAGAAATATAACTGCCATCAAAATCCCTCTCTCATGACTTATATCTCCTAATTTTTTTTTCCTCCACAAATACAGGGTTTGGCTTTTTTTTTCTTTCTTTTTTTTCTGGTTCATAAGGATGAAATATGCTTCCCAGGGATAATTGGCCTGACTGCCCTTTCTTGCAAAAATACATTGGAAATCCTCTGGAGGTTTCTCTGGAATATTTTTTAAAATTTTGGAAACCCTACTCCAACACTATGCTATTGCAGGAAATTAATAATTTACAGGATATTTTCCCTCTTTTTCTACCTTTAGGGATGACTCTCCCAACTAATTTTTTTGCCAGCAGGTAAAAATACCAAGTAAACACATTTTCGCCGCGGCCTGGATCCCAGGAGGAAGGGCGAGCCGTGTGACCGGCTAGCTGCTCGGCCCTTTTCCCCCAAGCGATGTCACCGCGCGGCCGCTCCCGGCCTTGAGCTCCTGCGCTGGGGCCGAGCGTAGCGGTTCAGCCTTTCGGCTGGAACCTCTCCTTCCACTTGGCCTGGCCGAAGGTGGGCACCCGGACAGGTTCCTCGTGGACGCTGAGTGACACAAAGGGAGAGAGGGACTCTCTGGTGGCAAAGTTCCAAGACGTTTATTCCTTCCCCGAGGGAGAAGTGGCAGGATGATACAATGAAACAATCTCCAAGGGAGCACACACAGAAGAGAGCCCTAAGAAGGGGATTACAACGGCTTTATAAAGGGGGGCAGTCTCCTGGGAGGAGACTGCCTACAACCAATTAGAGATTGGCAAGGATGAACACAGGGTGGGCTTACATCAACACAACAACAATGAGGCAGAAAGAAGGAGGGGTGAATACCTAATGGACAAATGGGTGAGAGGAAACAGCATAACTGACACAGAACTTTCTGGTAAAAGGGGTACATCAAAACCCTAATTGACAAGCTGCAGGGGTTGGGTTTAGACAATTGACAAGGGAGGATTTACAAGTATGGGAGGGGTAAAGAGGATTGGCATGAGGATCAAGGTAAGGAAGGGTGGGAAAGTATGGGGTAAGCAAATCTGGGAAGAACTATTTTTGAAACTGAACAGGGGAGTGTGGAACAAACCATTTCATAAAATAGGAAAATCTAACATATTACAGTTTAAACAGTTAAAAATCATAATTTGTTTTGTGGCAGTTGCTTCATACGTGTCATGTAATCCTGACATAATAAGTCACGTGCAATCATGAAAGATTGTTCCTCGGCAGTTCTTTATGGGCCTATACCTCCAGACAGTAGCTCCTGCCAGTCTTCAAAAGTTCTCCTGCACTGATCATTTTGATGGGCCATCTTCCCACCAGGACACTGGGTCTGAACCTCTCCTGGAACAGCCATAGACGGTCCTGGACAGGGTCCAGTCCCTTTTTAAAGAGGCCTTAACTTGCATTCCACTCTAACTGAGCTGCTGAGCTTGTGGAGACTGGCCTTGAATGAGCTGATTTCATTGGAGTATCTGGGCAGGGTACTCTTTTGATTCCTCCTTCATTGCTTTGCTGTGCTCCTTTGTGTGCAGACAGCTTTTGCCACATAACCGAAGCCATCCTACTACCCTGGGCTCGGTTTGAAGGCTTTGATTCGCCTGTGATCAGATCCACACTAACTTATTCAAAGGGGAAAATGCCACACATATGACATTTCCATTTTAGAGTAAATTCTGCTTTAAGCCATGCTTTTCATGGGCTCAATCACAGAAGGCCAGGGCATCGCACTGGCCGTGCAGGCTTTTCCTTCCTTCCTTCCTTCCTTCCTTCCTTCCTTCCTTCCTTCCTTCCTTCCTTCCTTCCTTCCTTCCTTCCTTCCTTCCTTCCTTCCTTCCTTCCTTCCTTCCTTCCTTCCTTCCTTCCTTCCTTCCTTCCTTCCTTCCTTCCTTCCTTCCTTCCTTCCTTCCTTCCTTCCTTCCTTCCTTCCTTCCTTCCTTCCTTCCTTCCTTCCTTCCTTCCTTCCTTCCTTCCTTCCTTCCTTCCTTCCTTCCTTCCTTCCTTCCTTCCTTCCTTCCTTCCTTCCTTCCTTCCTTCCTTCCTTCCTTCCTTCCTTCCTTCCTTCCTTCCTTCCTTCCTTCCTTCCTTCCTTCCTTCCTTCCTTCCTTCCTTCCTTCCTTCCTTCCTTCCTTCCTTCCTTCCTTCCTTCCTTCCTTCCTTCCTTCCTTCCTTCCTTCCTTCCTTCCTTCCTTCCTTCCTTCCTTCCTTCCTTCCTTCCTTCCTTCCTTCCTTCCTTCCTTCCTTCCTTCCTTCCTTCCTTCCTTCCTTCCTTCCTTCCTTCCTTCCTTCCTTCCTTCCTTCCTTCCTTCCTTCCTTCCTTCCTTCCTTCCTTCCTTCCTTCCTTCCTTCCTTCCTTCCTTCCTTCCTTCCTTCCTTCCTTCCTTCCTTCCTTCCTTCCTTCCTTCCTTCCTTCCTTCCTTCCTTCCTTCCTTCCTTCCTTCCTTCCTTCCTTCCTTCCTTCCTTCCTTCCTTCCTTCCTTCCTTCCTTCCTTCCTTCCTTCCTTCCTTCCTTCCTTCCTTCCTTCCTTCCTTCCTTCCTTCCTTCCTTCCTTCCTTCCTTCCTTCCTTCCTTCCTTCCTTCCTTCCTTCCTTCCTTCCTTCCTTCCTTCTTTTTTTTGGTCAAGAAATATAACTGCCATCAAAATCCCTCTCTCATGACTTATATCTCCTAATTTTTTTTTCCTCCACAAATACAGGGTTTGGCTTTTTTTTTCTTTCTTTTTTTTCTGGTTCATAAGGATGAAATATGCTTCCCAGGGATAATTGGCCTGACTGCCCTTTCTTGCAAAAATACATTGGAAATCCTCTGGAGGTTTCTCTGGAATATTTTTTAAAATTTTGGAAACCCTACTCCAACACTATGCTATTGCAGGAAATTAATAATTTACAGGATATTTTCCCTCTTTTTCTACCTTTAGGGATGACTCTCCCAACTAATTTTTTTGCCAGCAGGTAAAAATACCAAGTAAACACATTTTCTTGTCTTCAATCCATGACAGTTTAATGCCAAGGGAAGATAAGGAAGAAGAATTAAGTAAGCTACTTTTTGTTCTGCTAGGGGGGCTTTCACATCAAGAATCAGCAAAAGAGCTATTTCATAGGACAGCAAGTTTTAGCTGATGTCAGTGAAAAAAATGGTGCAGGTGGTGCCAACTTTTACCCTTTGGTAGACGTCATTGATCAGATGGACCAGGCCATGTGATATCCACTGGTTTCAGATTATGCCTGTACATAGGTAGTCTTTCTATGCTGATGTTTTCCAGAAAGAAGGGAAATGAAGGGAAAAGCAACAGATTGTGAATGGACTGGAAAAAGTAGATGTAAAAATGTAGGGCTAGATCATCCCATGAGCACTGCATAATGGCTCAGGGACCAGGGAGAACCATGTATCTCCCTTGAATCCCTCAGGGAGAGCAAATGGCAAAAGCATACATGTATCTAGTTGTTGATCCCCTTCCTTCCCAACAGGACATCAAGAGATGGAGATAAGAAAGAATGGCATGTAAATTCTTGGCATTAATTGTGGGGGAGAACTATTTTCTCATATTTTGTGACACATCCATCCGTTTGCCAGAGACTTAAATGTTGAATGTGAGTCTAAAGGTAGTTCTTTTACTGGGGTCAATGCAGTCAGCAGGTCGTCATCTGAAGTGCGTGATAAACACTACTCACTGTAGCTGAGGTTATATTATTACCAACTCCCTAAGCACTGATCAGTTGTTAAACAATGATTGAGCTCATTAAAGAAATGTAGAAATGAGTAATCTTTGTGTAACCAGAAGGAAAAGAGACCTCTGTGCAGTCTGATGAGTGGCCCAAGAGTGCCTGTGCCCCTGTGCCCTACTGGGCACCAGCTGCAGGCAGCAATCAGCCACACTCACAGGACAATTCTCAGCTCAGTCTCTAGTGCACTGAACATTTTCTCTCCCAATCCCAACACATTTCATCTAACTTTGGTGGGAATGATGAGAGATATAATCAAGAAAAAATAATCCCAGCAGTGATTACTGGAAAGAGATGAACTGCCTTGAGGATTTTGACCATGACATTTAAATTCCAATCTGCAATTCATGTCATTCTGTTTTCTTATATTCTATTTATAAGCTCTATGTTGTTATCACAGACTTTTTGGCATGAGGTTTAGAAATTATTTAAGTCCTTTACCTAGAATGCAATTGCATTTGGCTGCTTATCTTGTTCATTTATGTTCAACTTTTATTGATTCCAAAGGTTCATATTACATAAGGTCTTTGACTGGACCTGCATATATCTTCACAGGTTCAGAAAGAGCTAAGTTATTGCTCATAGAGTCAAGAAAAAAAAAAGAACAACAAACCAAGCACCTGTGGGTTTCTCCCACAAAGGACAACCTGTGCGTTTCTCCTTCTACGCGGCAGTTCATACTGTGACAGAGTCTGTGTGTGAGAGAGAGAAGAATGGAGAAGTCCAGGAAAACATTTATTGGTTTGGTAGATAAGGCAATAGCAGCTGCCAGCACAATGCGTCGTGATGAACTGCTTTTTTCTCACAAGGGAATTCTCTACCCTACCACTGTTTGCAGTCCTGAAACATTCAAAGCCTTGGAATCCTTTGAAGCCAGAAATGATGATGTAATTTTGGCAGCATACCCTAAATCCGGTAAATATATTTTAATTTTTTTTATAAACAAGGTCCTGTAATAGCAAATAACAAGGTTTGTACCAAGTATATGAAATACATATTATATGATACATAATATATTATGGTAAATAAGTGTCTTTAGAATGTTCAGCAAATTTTGTAAAACTGATTTCATTCTCAAAAAGCACAAGAAATGAATTATGAATATTTTACATGGAAAATTTTCCAAAAGATTGACAAAAAACCCAGCCTTTCTTTTCTAAAGCATCGCAAGGTTTTTGTTATCTTTACTTTTCATAATTATGAAGTTAATGCACAAATTGGAGAGAATAAAAATACAGGTTTTTACATCAGAGATGACTAGATCTCCTGATATTACACAACCTGCTCCCATGTGCATGTTTGTAAAATTAAGAGCTTTATGTTTTTACAATGAATGGAGCCTTTGGTACCTTCAAATGATATATTCAATATTCTTTAGTTTATTTCACAAACGTGTCAGGAAATACCTATCAAAAATATTTTTGTAGTCCTTGAAGTGATTACACTGTTCTTTAATTTTTGGGAGATCAAGAGGACATCCTTGCTCCAGCTGCAAGTTTACCCTACCTATTTCCTCAATCTGCCTCAAAGCACTGGTCAGCACTGGTCGACATGCAGGCCAAAGGTTTGGATTAGGTGTGCCTCATGTACACTTTAATCTTGCTGTTTCTCTCTTCCAGCAATTGGTTCACACTGCCTTACAGTCGATAGTCACAGCTGACAGAATTGTGAAGCTTTTGCTTTTTTGTTGTATTCTCTTTTTGAAGAAATGTTATGCACTGGAATGCACTTGTTAAGATTGCAGTGAGAAAGATGTAGGCACCCAGTGTCCAGAAGTCAGGAAATGGTAAATCATAGATGGGAGATCTATGCAGGCGCTCTGTTATCTTTTGAAGAAAAAGATAACAAGTGTGTCTAGGAAATGTCACTTCAGAGAGGTTTCTCCTAATGTTAAAGAAAATGAGCGCACTATTTTCAGATCTAGTTCTGCTCCTGTCTTGAAGTACTGTGACCCATCTTTCTTCCAAAGACAATCCAGCACACCAGAAAACACTTCATGTATTAGGTTTTAAAGTACAAGTTTACCACCTCTGTCTCCCTTATATGTATCATAATAAAATTTATTACATTAATGCAGGTTTTTCTACTTGAATCTCAGTGGTTCTTCTGCCTGATTAGTCAGTTTACAACATACAAGGTAATTTATGGTGTACTGAACTGTTCAAATTAGAGAAATATCTCCTTATAAGGAGCATAGGTAGGATCCTGGGTGGTGATTGACCAGACAGTCAGCTGTGATTTTATGACATGAAAGGAAACCAGGTAACTCACCTGGTAGTACTACCAACTCTTGACTTTCCAGGTAAATCCATTTCCATCCACTCTAAAAGTTTTACAAGCACTTCTCTACTCTTTCAGGCACAAACTGGCTAAGCCAAATCTTAACTGACCTGATAGCCATATCTCAAAAGAAAACACCAGGTAGTGAAAGCAGTGTGAATGCTGAAGAACCAGAATTCCCCTACCTCGAAGTTGGAGATGCTGAAAAATATGAGGTGGGAACAGAATATGTATGGAAATGATCAACATTGTGTGCTTCAAATACTGAATATATGATGTATGAACTATCCCATTGTTTGATAAGAACTTTACAATTTCTTTTTGTGTGGCATCTGGTCAGAAGTAATCTCATCTGGACTGTCAAATACTGAGTGATCAATGAACACTTCATTGGGACTGAAAGGATGACATACCAATGAGATACATAAGAACTTCAGAAATTCAACATAGCATCTTTTGTATTTAAGAAGAGCTTAATGAAGTGTCAAATCACGTAATATTAGCATTTGTCTCTTTTTCTAGCTCTTCCTCCTCATCCCCTTTCTCATTCCTTGAGATGCTTCAGCTTTCAGAGATAGCTAGTGTGCACCCTACCTCTAGATTTGATCCCTTACATAACAGAACTGAAGAGAATTAGCACTGAAGAGAACTAACAATGGATAGACTTTTTCCAATTGCTCATGGGCTTTTGAAGATTAGAGCTACTCAGTGCCCACTAATATCCCAGGGCAACACTCACTAAAAATCCCAAAAACCACTTCAATCAGCCAGTAACTGTTGATAAGTTCATCAAGGCCACATTTTAGCATAGGTTACTGAAAAGAATACTTGTACTAACTGAACTGTCCACTTTCCTCCCAATTCTTCAAGCGAATGACCAAATTACTTTCTCCAAGATTTATGGTTACTCATCTCCGTCCTGAAAATCTTCCAAAATCTATCTTCAAAAACAATGCCAAGGTGAGTGCTGATTTTAATGTATTAAAGAAAACACTTCAACAAATTTTTTTTTTTGTAATGTCAATATAGTACTTTTCTGCCACTTTTCAGGATCACTGATACTTAAGTGTTTAGCACAGCCATTTCCACATGACTGTTTAAGTACTGCCATTCACCTTACTAAACCACAGTTTGCCCTTATTGGTACCTCTGTGGCAGTTTCCACAAGAGAGTTGCAGGGCTTGAACAAATCCTCCAGCGGCAAAATGGATGTTGACATGATTTCCTGTGGGAGGAATTTTATTGCATTGTTGCAAGTTAGGGTCTAATGTGTCCAATTTCAAGCAGAATTCATATTTTTGTGAATTTTCCTTGCTACTTAAAAGATGAACTATGCTTGTATTGAGCAAAACATGCTTAGATTCTGCATAGATAATTTGGTTAATCTGTAAAAGATAATAATTATAGGCAACCATCTTCTCATGGTACCAAAGCAAAGGTAAATACTGCATATTTGGACCTGGGAATGAAAGTGCTACTTCTGCCAGAAGCACACAGGGTATTAGAAATCCACAAATGCAGTTATAAAATATATTATTATTATTATTTCTTTTTTAATACTGTACTCTGCTATGTCTTTCTCTATAAGAAATTAATTTAATTTTTCTCTAGATATTGTTACTGATTCGCAATCCAAAAGATGTTGCTACATCTTTCTACCATTTTTGCAATGGCCTGCCTAGTCTCCCCTCCTATGAGACCTGGGATGATTTCTTCACAGATTTCATGGCAAAGAAAAGTACAGTATATTTTTCTCTCTGTGTCAATTGTCCAATGATTTGTCTTTGTCTAAAAACCCTTGTACTTTGGTAAATCAGCTTCTCTAGGAATTTTTGCTCTACAGTACAAAAGCAGAGATTAAAGACAGAGAATTAGACATCTGAACTGAAGTTTACCATGCTTGTCTTACTGTTTGAGAATAAGTATTTGTCAAAACTGCACTTGTACAGGTTTTTTAAATTTGCACAAACTGGTATTTTTCCTGGAAGAAGCAGTTCTTCCTTATCTCTGTCTTGGGTCCCCTTTACCTCTCTCTAATGTCCATCATAGTGCTCTCCTATGTCCATCATCTTGTGTCCATGGAGCTATATAATCACCTCCGTGCTACATTGGATGAAAGGAGTTATTTGGACTAAGTCTAGTGCATTAAAGAGGGGACTAATTCTAATGCATTAAAAAAGAGAAAAAGTAATAGCACTAGTTTAAAGTTATGAGTTTTGGGTAGCATATTGCCAACAGAAGGGGGGTTTCAACATGGTTTTAGACTGAATTAAGGGAGTCTTACAAGATGGTCTGAAAGATGATAGCTTTTTTGGTGAACTCGGAGCTATCTTGAAATACTACCAAGTTTTATTTTTCTGACTTTCCAATGGTATCATATGCCTGAGTCTGTATCTAAACCGATATATCTTACAGAAGGGCGTAAACTCTGCCATTGACATGATTAATAAAGCCCTTGCCTGACACAACTTAATGAGTAAGACGTGTATAATCTTAATTTATGCTTCACCTTAGTATGATTTTTTTTTTTAATTTAGTGGCCTGGGGATGCTATTTTGAATACCTTTCTGAATGGAACAAATATTCTGACAAAGAAAATATCATGACAATAACTTATGAAGAGATAAAAGAGGTAAGGTTAAGAATAGTTACAAATACTTTATACTTCAAGGGACTTTTTTTCCGGAACCAATACACCATTATATATGCAGGGTATCCAAGGAATGTGAGACAGATTCTTGTTTTAAGAATCTGATTTAAGGGAAGAAGAGGTGAAATTCAAACTTAAAAACCTTCTTAAACTTTTGCTTGTGAAAATGAATCTTGTTTTTTATTTATCTGTAAGACTGGATATGGCACTCAATACCGTGGTTTAGTTGAGGTGCAAGAGCATGGGTTGTACTCATTGATGTCTACGGTGTCTCCAAACCTAGTCATTCTCTGAATTCTGTTATATAAGCCCAAATAATTGTAAACCAAAATCAACAGTAATCAATCTTTGGGGAGGAGCTTCTGTGTTTTCAGCAGTGTACATTTTACACAACTGTAAATCATATATAACATTTTATAATCTACAGGAAAGCAGCTTGTATCTCCTCCAAAGTAATTATGGAGAAGAGAAACACTATGGCCCACCCTGGTCCTAGAGAACTCTATGAATATCCTTTGTATGCAGACAGCAGAGAGATACACGAAAGTGTAAACACCTTGGAAAGCAGCGTCATTTGTTTGAAAGTCATGTCATAAGTTACATTCCTCTTTCCAGAATCCTGCCCTGAGTGTGAAAAACATGGCTACATTCTTTGGAATTGCTCTGACTGAGGAAGAGCTCCAGCTGGTGGTAGAGAGGAGCAGCTTCCAGTCTATGAAGAAAAACTCAGACAAGACCCATGGGTCACTTGGCAAGGTTCTCTTTCGCAAAGGTAGGAAGCTCCACGGGGCTCAGAGGTAGAAATGTCCCACTCTCAAGAACTTGGGGCATCCTTTGGTCCTTTTTCCAGCACTCACAGCAGCATTGCAAAGCAGGTTATCGCTGCTTTGCTTGAGAAGACTATTCAAGGAGCAATGGTGAGGAAGATGCCCAGCAAGGCTCTCACAGCAGAGACACTCTTGCAGGCTCTCAGATGGCTGGCAGGAAGGAGGAACTGTCATGTGACTGAATTCCTCTCCACCTCTGTGACTGGATTCCCAATTGCCCAGCCTTTGGAGCAGGCAGCACAGGGCCAAACGCAGCCTGAGTGGTGTGACCACCCTTTATATGAGAGTATAGAAATCTTCTGAGATGGCCACTGCCAAGTGCCTGCTCACTCTTACACATTAGAACTAAGCCAAGCAAGCAAGAATCTAGGGACACACAAGAGAGGCAACAGAAGAGAGTAACAACTTTTGCAGTGTAGTTTGGGGGACATGGACATGAGAAGGGCAGCCTGGTTTTCAGAATCTAGTTTCTGCATTCTACATTAAAGAAGTAACTGGATAAAAATCCAAGCTACCAAAGGAGCAGAAACTCAGCTCTGCCTCCCGGCAGATGATTCATAATAAATTCTTCATGATCTTCCACTTTGCCAGTCATAACTGACTAGAGGAGAGAGATGCAGGGAAACAGGATTTTAGGCTGCCTTTTTGAACACAGTCACCTAAAGAGGAGTATGTTATTTTGCATTTTAGCAAAAGATTATTCACACATATATGTAACTCCACTGATTTCACAAAATTCTATTGCTGTAGAAAAATGTTTCATCTGGAGAATGGATCAACAAGATTTAGTGTACAATGCAATAAAAACAACAGCTCTATAGAATAAAAAATGAAATTTCTTGGTTTTTAAGAGTTTGTTCCTGCTTTTTTGAAGGTGGTGTAAGTGACTGGAAGAATCTTTTCAGTGAAGATCAGAATGAGAAAATGGACAAAGCATTTGAAGAACATATAGCAGGAACGACACTCGGGAAAAAGTTGAAGTATGACTTATACTGCAAAGTCTGAAAAGAAATGAAATGTGGTTACATGTTATGAGAGCAAGAACTGTGCAAGGCAGACTCAGATCATCTGAATGCTGTACACTGGAAAACTAGATCAAATGATCCAAGCACCTTACATCTTACTGTAAGAGTCATTGCAGCAGTCTTTACAATGACAGTGATGAGTGATGAGCCTTTTGTTTAATGGTGAGATCTTTGCTATACTGATTTGCTGAAGAAGATGCCAACTAATCATATTTACAAAAACTCAACAGCCGTGTTCCAGCTGTCACATGGAAGGAAATGCCCCTTTTCTTTCTAGAAAAATTCTATCTCTGTAGACGATTTCTAATTATTGAGTATGCAGATAATTTTTTTCTTTAAAAATATTTGAAATCAGGCAACATCTTCACAGAAAATATCACTAGCAAAAATATGGATATGACAGAAGCCTAATGTCAAAGGAGATCTTTCATGAATTCAGCACAAACTAAATCAAAACTAGAGGGAGAAGAAAGAAAGGGGAATATGGATCAGTGTTCTTAAGGCTTTTCATCTCACTGAATGCAAAATACCAAGATAGATTTCAGATTTTGGGCTGATGTCAATAGGCAAGATTCTCTCAGAGGCACTGCTTTCTACAGAATCACAGAGTAGCCCAGGTTGGAAGAGACCTTGAAAAGTCATCTGGTACAACCTTTCATGGGAAAGGGAGCCTGGATGATCATGTATTGAAAACCTCCAGTCATGAGGATTCTACCACATTCCTGGAGGCTTTGTTCCAGCAACAGGTTGTTCTTGCTGTAAAGGGCTTCATGTATCAAGATTAAACCTCCCCTTTTGCAACTTGAACCCACTGCCTCTTTTCTTCTCCATGTGGTGTTTGGTGAATAGGGAGCCTTTATCCTCTTTGTAGCTGCCCTTTAAGCACTGGAAACTGTGCTGAGGTTGTCCCTGAGCCTTCTCAGCTTTGTGGTCCTCCCTTGGAACCCCTCTGCTTTGTTTGTGTCTTTCTTGAAAATTACTTTATTGAGATAGAGGGGTTGTCAAGAGTGATGGTGTGAGACATTGCTCTACCCAGCTTTCTTGTACTACCATTGGCATTTGCCTCTCTAGACACAATATTTCAGATTTTTCCAAGGACCTGTTATGGAAAAAAAAAGAAGGAAAAATAAGGTTCTGTATATATAGTTGAATTAAAACCAGGAAAAGCCCCACCCAATTTATAGATCCATCACCTGAGATGTCGCTGTAGAGCGCGACACAGTATAATAAGAGA